TACTGGACCCGGTTTAATGGATAAAGCGGATATATATTGGAGGATAAGCCCACTAAGACATCTAAGCCCAACGATAGGGGTCAAGCCCAACTTGGGCCCAAAAGGTATACTACCCCTATAAAAGGGGGCCAAGGTACCTCATATTCTCATTCTCTATGGATTACATTATTACACTCTCTCTCTTGATCTGAGCACTGACTTAAGCATCGGAGGCCCGACGTCGGTGCCACCCCCGGTGTTGGGTTCTGCAGGTACGGAGGCCGTTCGAGTTGAAGGAGCCGGGTGAAATTTATTCACTTCAATATTATACATATAAAATAAATAAATAAATTATATATTAGTTAAATCGGTTCGACCGGTTCGACCACTGGTCCTACCAGTAAACCATTGAACTTGTAGTTTCACCTGTTCGATGTGGTCCGATTTTGAGAACATTGGTTTTAAGAATGAGTAACGCCACAAATGTTTTGAATTGAGTTTCGAAAATTTTAATTGATTTTTCTGAAAAGCTATGGATTTTCGTTAAATCAAAGTGAGGCGTTACATTTATACCAGACTTCTCCATTTTAGCGCTATGGTCTGAATTCACCATAGTCCGAGCTTCTGACTCTGACGAACGACTCTTAATTCGGTCGTCCTAACCAACTCCATCCTATAAAACGGGCTAGTCTTGATCGATTTACCGAGCATATTCTTATATGCTATATCATGTCCGATATTCTTATAGTATATGTTTAAACAAGTTGATTTGAATCACTCGTTTCAAATAGCGTTCAGACCAAATGACCAATAGATATGAGAATTGTTATTGAATTTGATCAGACATGACCACGGGCTGTCTCGGCCCGCCGTCTCGGTCCCGGCCCACCCGCAACCGGCCCGTAGGTTGCCGGTTCCAAGAACCGACACTGTGGCTTTACGGGCCGTGTCCGGGTTCTCCTTTTTTTTTTTCGTCCCGGCGGTCCGGGACCGAGTCGGGATGGGTCCGGGACCGGGCCGGGACCGGTCTAGGACAGGGCCAGTTCCACGGGCTGACCCTTGATTTTTGGCGTATCAGTTAAGGATCACCATGGGAGGCCCGCCAGGCCGGGTCACGGCCCATTGACTGGCCACCTCTAAATTTGATGGTAAATGTTCTTAACATATAACCATGAAAGAAACTATCTGCAGTGGTCTGAACGCGCCATACAAAAAGTTTAGCTGCCAGCCAACATCAACCCTATCCTGTATCCAGTAGTTTCATAGTCATTGTCCCCTCCCATTGTTTTCATTTTTCCTTTTCGCTTTAATCGATTATTTAAAAATTTAAATTAAAAGACGACTCATGTGTTCATAAAAAAGATGATTATAAAGTGTATCACAAAAGGTTGTCCACTAGGTTAATTTTTATTTTCTTTTTTCTTTAATGTATTTTCTCTCAATTCATGCACTTCCTTGCTTCCATTGGTGTTGTATTTCCTTCTCAATATCCTTAAAAGGTCTGCAAGTTTCTCGTGTAAAATATAAATCGGTCAAACTGAATGTTATATTGTAAGAAAATGCTAAGGTCTTGTCACGAGACGATATCGTGACGGAACTATTCTCTCAAAGGAACTTTAACCATTCCCTATATTTTAAAAGTAAATATTAGATATTGTAAAAGTCATTATTAGACATTAATGTTACACAAAGTAGTAATAATGGTGTTTAATAAGATAGTGACGCGTTCCCCAAACAATGCCAATTGCCTAACCAATTGAGAAACTAAATCCAATACATACTCAATCCATATTAGAAATTAATGTAAGAATGATTGATTAATTTGTTTAAATATATTAATAAAATTAAACAAATCAATCAATCATTTTTATATGTCACATTAAATTTAATTCACTATTCATCTACGTACATAATTTTAAATAATTATTTCACTCATATTCTTACATCAAGTCAACTTTAATTATTTCATTTTACATATAATTTTAATACGATTTCAAAATTTAACTAATAATTAATCATACTGCATTTTCCAATATTAACTTTGTTAACAAAACAAAGTCATTTTGGGCAGATATATTTGTATCCAACCACGCCCTTAAATTCGACTATAGTGATGTTACACCAAAATTTTGTCAATTTCCACTCAATACAATACCACTAGCTAGAGTCCTCATTGTTTCTCTCTCAATTAAACACGAAAAAAAAAAATAATAATAAGTAAATAACAAAGTTAACATAAATAAAACAAAATCTCATCTACTACATGATCACTCAAAAATTAAACATAACTCCTCCGAACTTAGACTTGTTTATATTTCATGACCTCGAATTAAGCCTTCAGGCTGCAGCGGTTGGATCGTCACACCAAAAGCATTGTCCTGGGCCGGGACTGCGGGCAGCTGTCGGCCAAGCAGGCAGTGCCTGCAGGTGGGGCACGATGAATGCGAGTTGAGCCACTTGTCTATGCACCGGACGTGAAACCCATGTCGGCACGTGGGCAGCACTCTCACGCGCTCGCCCGAGGCGAAGTCCGATAGGCAGATGGCGCACTCCGTGCCTTGGCCGAGCATTTCGAGGCTCGACCTGTAGCTAATGGTTGGGTAGGTGCGGAGGGCCTTTCTCTTGATGCCAGTGTTGGGGGGGACGGTGGGTGGGCTTGGGTTGGCCGCCACCAGACGGGAGCACCTGAGGGCGCACCGCGTGATGGAACTGAGAGCTAGAGAGCAGATTAGGGCGCATAGGAGGACCGAAAGGACCATCACCACGTTCGAATCAAAACTCGTGTTTTCACGCGGCAGAACAACCTCTGCTGCACCCGGTGGCGGTGGAATGGCGGCGTACGACTGGTTTTGGAGTAGTAGTCTTCTTGAATGTAAGGATGACATTTT